ACTGTGGAGACTTACACAAAAAAATTTAAAAAATCGCCCACCTTAATTGAAAATTAGTGGACAGTTGATACTTTGTGTACAGTTTCTAAAGGCTTTCAGCTCTATACAAGCAAAATTTCAGTTCAATCCGGGAGCTCACTGATTTTTTAGAGCCATCTGAGTATGAGCGTGCGAGATAAGCACGCAAAAAATTTAGAAAATCGCCGACTTCAAGCCAAAAATAGTGGACAAATCATACTTTGTGTACGCATTCCCAAGGTTTTCAGCTCTATGGAAACAAAACTGCCGAAAAATCTGAGCCCTTTCAGAGCCGAACTGGGTCAATTTTCAAAATCAGAAATCGCCTCCTCAAAAACCTTTATTAATCTGAATTTTTACAACGTATTTCCTGCTCGAGCCTCCAAAACTCCTGTTTTTCCTCGAATTGTTCGACGGCTTTCTCATGCAGAATCTCCGTCGAAGGCAAATCGCCGCCATAGTCTTCCGGCCAGCATTTCTTCGGCACCAACGCGAACAGTTTTTCGGGCTCCGCACTCGGAGGATGCACCTTGATCTGGACCAAAATGCGCAATTTTTCAAAAAATCTCGTTTGGAGAAATTTTCAGCCACTTGCCATTTCCATCAGCTCGCTCTTCGTGCACAACTTGACCACGTTCAGGAACTTGTCGAAGAAGTAGACGGCGTTTATAATGTGAATCACCTTCATTTGTATTGGGAAGCCTTCTTGAAGAAACTGGAAGTATCTTCGCATTGGGCCGATCTTCATTCTGGTCAGATGCATTAGACCCACCTGGAAACAAAGCGGGTAAATTTGGGGAAGTGTTGAATCCCCATCCAGCTACCCCTTTGCAGTCTATAATGACTACAAGTCCTCTAGGCAGGTCCTTTTCTTGAGTTATATCCAACAGCATGTACGATAGTTTCATAACCGGCACCAGGTCGAAGTTTAGATAGTTTGTGTCGTTTAATTTGAAGTGGTGAATCGCATAGTTTTCGTCTGTCCGTACTGGCAGGCTACACATGTGGCTAAAAATCGTAAAAAAACTAAAGTAATCGAGTTTTCCAAAGTTTTTCTCGGCCAAAACTCAAATATTTTAAGCTGTGAAGGTACCAAGTTCGAACGTAGCTGCGCGCAGGCCGTCGTGCCGCGCCATGGACTCCTATGCGTGCGAGAGAGACAATCGATGCTTGCTACGTACGGGAATGCGAAAATAGTTTCGTCAAATGAGAACAGTCTGGCGATGATAATCAAAAAACTCTGTATACTTATAGTAAATGTGTGGTTTTCGACCAGAAAAGCGCCCCTGTATGCATATAAAGCTGATAACACAAAAATCAGCCGGATAATCACGGAGTGGCAACTTTGATAAATGCTGAAAAATTTCCTGTTGGCAGCAGGCAATTATACATTTGTCGCTTAATTGAGAGTTTTTTGCTTAATTTGATGCAATTAGTAGAATACTGGAAGCACTTTGGGTTTGGGTAAATTAATTTTTTAACCCCACTTGCATAGCGGGCTCTTGCGCGACGTTGCCCGATTTTGAAACATTCCCAAACACACCCTGAAGGTGGACGTTTTTTGAAACTTTTGCAGTGT